GACTCATAGCGACCCCTCCTTGGGTTTCCAAGGCAGTATCACTACAGAAGTAGATTGCCCCATCTTCCTTCTGAGGAGTGGCTGGTGGATTTGAACTGCCAGCCTTCTGAAAGCTATGTTACAACACTTCAAAATCTACATGTAATTAGTTCCTGAAATCAATCACTATAATCCTCTATATCCTACGCTACAATAGAAGCCCATACACCATGCATAACCCAAGCTCCTTGTGATCCAAAATGTTTCACCAATAAAATGACATAATTTCTTTGTTCCATAGATTTTATCTGTTAGATTTTAGTTGGAGTCATAAGGTCTCACTTTTGTGGGCAGCTGCACCCCTGCATCTATATGTAATTTTCCTTTTGTTGGAACAGATCTTCTAAATCTCACTGTAAAAAGCTCGGGTGTTGTAGTGGGTAACCTATTTGAATGCAATCCAGAAAACTGGAAGTTCAAACCAACCACTGGCTCTGTTGAAGAAAGATGAGACAATCTACTTCCATAAAGATTTAAAACCTTGGAAACCCAATACAGAGTAGGATATAGACATAAGGAGACTATCCTGGTAAAATATATGGTAACAAAGTGAAAGGGGGTTGATGTTTAATATTTGATACACAGTAGGGGGTAGATTTTACCAAGTTAAATAAGTAAAAAACTCAAGCAAAATAAAGCAGAAATATAAAAGTTGGAAAAGACTTTTAAACTAGTAAGCAAGAGAGGATTTAAAAACAAAACAAAACTCAATGGTAAGGAAAACAAAGGTGAGAGCAAGTGGGCAAACTTTCTTCCAGTAATTCCCAACTATCATTTGTGGACAAGCCTCCTTTACAAGGTTGTTTCTGTATTTTTAAAAAATCTATTTAACACTTTGGATTCTATCTCAAACCCTTTTGTACTCCAGATCCCATGAGGAAAATAAGAATCATTCTCAATATCTCATACCATTTCAGAAATGACTGTGTTTTACTCAAATGTCAAATAAAATCTATTTTTTACTGTCTTTTGACTATATCAGCCTCCCTCCTTTTCATAACTGTTGTCTGCCTACCTTTTAGTCATTTATCTGATTCATGACTTTGCAAGCTGGCTCATCCTTACCTCTTCTGAAATTCTACATCACCTCTGGGGGTTCATTGTCTACATGGATTTATATTTACCACTTCGGCTTCTAATTTCATTGACTGCATTCCACTTCAGACGATCAATTCCATGGGCCTGAATTGCACTGTTCCTCAGAAATCAATGATTCTCTTCAAAACATCCACTCACCTCTCTAAGCTTGACTCACATGTAATGCTTAATTCAATAAAATCAGTATGCCAACTGTACAATAAAATGAACCTGAAACTCAAATTATATTATCAGAGATAAAATTATGTCAAAACACCACTAAAAAGCAATATAATTAAAAATATGTATATCAGTAGGCCACAGTTGGATGAAAAACACAATATACGCACAGCATCAAAGTATCATGCTACAAGAAACCTACTAAGTACAAAGTGTCAAATGGTTAACTTTACAATAGGAAAAAATGGACAGAAATGTGTTAAATATGAATACGAAACAAAACACTCTTGAGCCAAATAGTAGATGAATATATTTAATTGGATGAAAATAACATCAGTGAAAAAGTTAAAAATATACATAAAACCATATTTTCCCAAGACTATTCCCTGAAGTGTTATTTATAACAGCCACAGACTTTAAGAAAGGTAAAATTTAGCACTAATGATTCCTTGAGTTTTTAGTATTGCTTTCTTATGAGAATCTTTGTTCTTTAGTCCCAGACTTACAGAAACTTGCTAAATTACAACAGTAAGGATGAAACATCCCACTTTCGATACAGAGTAATCTCTCCATCGTGTGTTCTTGTATGTGAAGTGAGGTGTGAGGAATGATTAAAGGCTTTCCCACATTCCTTACACTCATAAGGCTTCTCTCCACTGTGAGTTCTTATGTGTCTAGTGAAATCTGAGGGCCAACTGAAGGATTTCCCACATTCTGTACATTCCTAAGGCTTCTATCCACTGTGAATTCTTATGTGTACAGAGAGGTAAGAGGAACGACTAAAGTTTTTCCCACATACTTTACATTCATAAGGCCTCTCTCCACTGTGAGTTCTTGTATGTGCAGTGAGGGATGAGGACTGACTAAAGGCTTTCCCACATTCCTTACATTCATAGGGCCTCTCTCCACTGTGTGTTCTTATATGTGAAGTGAGAGATGAGGAATGACTAAATGCTTTCCCACATTCCTTACATTCATAAGGTTTCTCTCCACTGTGAGTTCTTTTATGCGTAGTGAGGGCTGAGGAGTAACCAAAAACTTTCCCACATTGGTTACATTCATAAGGCCTGTCTCCATTATGAGTCTTTATGTGTGAAGTGAGGTGTTCAGAACGACTAAAGGTTTTCCCACATTCCTTGCATTCATAAGGTTTCTCTCCACTATGAGTTCTTTTATGTGTAGTGAAGGCTGAGGAATAACGGAAGACTTTGCCACACTGCTTACATTCATAAGGTCTCTCTCCACTGTGAGTTCTTGTATGTGCAGTGAGGGATGAGGACTGACTAAAGACTTTCCCGCATTCCTTACATTCATAGGGCCTCTCTCCACTGTGTGTTCTTATATGTGCCGTGAGATGTGAGGAATGACTAAATGCTTTCCCACATTCCTTACATTCATATGGCCTTTCTCCACTGTGAATTCTCCTATGAGTCATCAGGTTGGAGGTTTGCCTAAAGACTTTCCCACATTCTTTACATTCATAAGGCATCTCTCCACTATGAGTTCTTATATGTATAGTGAGGCCTGAAGAACGACTAAAGGCTTTCCCACATTCCTTACATTGATAAGGTTTCTCTCCACTGTGAGTTCTTCTATGCGTAGTGAGGTCTGAGGAGTAACTAAATGCTTTCCCACATTCCTTACGTTGATATGGCCTTTCTCCGCTGAGTATTCTTTTATGTGTAATGAGGTTTGATGCTTGTGAAAAGACTTTCCTGCATTCCGTACATTCATAAGGTTTCTCTCCACTGTGAGTTCTTTTATGCATAGTGAGGGCTGAGGAGTAACCAAAAACTTTCCCACATTGGTTACATTCATAAGGCCTGTCTCCATTATGAGTCTTTATGTGTGAAATGAGGTGTGCAGATCGACTAAAGGTTTTCCCACATTCCTTGCATTCATAAGGTTTCTCTCCACTATGAGTTCTTTTATGTGTAGTGAGGGCTGAGGAATAACTGAAGACTTTGCCACACTGCTTACATTCATAAGGTCTCTCTCCACTGTGAGTTCTTAGGTGTACAGTGAGTGCTGATGAGTAACTAAATGTTTTTCTACATTCCTTACATTCATAAGGCCTCTCTCCATTGTGAACACGCATATGTGTAGTGAGGGATGAAGAACTACTAAAGGCTTTCTTACATTCCTTACATTCATAAAGCCTCTCTACACTGTGAATTCTTAAATGCTGAGTAAGGGAGGAGGCCTCAGTAAAGGCTTTACCACATTCCTTACATTCAAAAAGTTTATCTCTGTTGTGAAATTTTTTATGTAAAATGAGGGATGAAGGAGAACTACAGGTTTTATAGCATTCTTTAAATTCACATTCATGACTTCTAACATGCATCCAACAGGACAAGGAACTACAGAAATTTTTGCCATATTTGTTACATTCAGAGTATTTCTCACCAGTAAGTGCTGTTACAGGATTCTTAAGACTTGAGATACAAATGATATCCTTCCCACACACCTTATATTCATGGGGCTTCTCTCCATTAAGAGTTTTCACAGGAGTGGTTAAGTGAGACAGACAGCAGGCCTCTCCACATGCCTTACACTGGCAGGTACTGCCTCCAGTGTCAGATGTGATACAATGTTTATGTGAAGAATGATCCAGGACAGCTTTTCCACACTCACAGCATTTAAAACGATTTACTTCAGGAGGATTCGTTTGTAGGCGAGTATGATATGCAATCTGGCTGAAGGTTTTCCCACAATGGATGGGTTCACTAGTTTCACAGAGGTTCTCTATTGTATGATTGCTGTTAAAAATAGGCAACATGGTGTTGGAAATAAATTTGCTCCCATTTGACCATCCTCAAACACAGCAAACCTGCTTGGGTTTTCCTCTGCCTTGTCTCATTTTTCACATATTAAGTCATCTAACAGAAATACTACCAATTTTGTCACTATTTTATGCACTGTTTTTCTAAAATATGAGGTTTTTTGATATTGTGCCCAAATGAAATATGTTTCAAATACTTGACATGAGACTCACAATTACTACAATATTTTATCATAAAAATTCTCTGAACATGTAATTTTACAGCTAGTTTCATACACATAAACATATACACATGCATATATATTTATCTGTCAGGGTTTGCTACTAGTTTGTAACAGTTGGACAACTGCTAATAAAAACAAGAGAAGGGTACAGGCAGTCATTTAGCAACCGAATCTGTTACCTGCTGGGTTCTGACCTGAGTAGGAAGCAAGCAGCAGTGCTCTACTCCAAGATCTCGGCCAACCTTGCCACTATGAATGGGTTCCACTTCCCACAGTCCTGCCGACACTTCACCCCCCCCCCCCCCGGGAGACCCACAGTTACAGTGGCATGATGCATGAGACTGGATTCTTGGACAACTGTGGAAAAGCCACACAACATTCTAAGAGGCGAGCTCAGTCGTCATACTAAGCAGGGCACCCCCATTGTTGCCTACACAGATCACAAAAACAAGCAACAGATTTGATTGTTATACAATGCACACATTTCCCTTTCTTATGTTGTCAATTCATGAAACATTCTGATAGAGTCTGAAACCCTGGCATTTATACATAAATGTACAGGTGCATTTTAATGTGATTATTATACACAGGACTTTCTTCTGAGGCTCTGTTTTCTTTTGTGTGACACTCACCTCAAATGTCTCTCCAGGTTTTTATGCTGATCCTTATTGCCATGTAATTCAGAGATACCTCTTAACGTGGAGGACCAGGTGTTATTCTTCATGAATTGTGCCATAATGTGTTCACTGGATAACTGTTCGCCATCATTAAGGTTTTGAGAGACTGACCGAATAATTCAAGTTGAGGTTCACAATATGAAACAAAAAGGAAAGCAATTATTATGGGAAAAAAGCCTGCTGTGAACACTTGGTCACGTTTCACTATTTCAGCATTCTGAAACGCTTCTGTGAAGATTGAGAGTGATGGAGACATAAATAGGTGTAATCAGGAGAGCCAAGTCAAAAGATATTGGACACAATAGACATGTAAACAAACATGAGAAAAGGGCTCCATAAGCACAGGTGTGAGAAGACTGCTAATGTGCAAAAAGTAAGCTCAGGTATCTGTGAAGTTGTGTCCCCAACCTCAAAGAGGAGTTCTAGCTGCCTGATTCAAATGTTAATTTTCTCCATGCAGGACTGGTTCTTCCAATAATTCTTGCTTTCCTGATGCTTCAGGACACAGTGGCTGAGGAGAAATTCTATCTACACTGTCTTCACCTATCTGCCTTGCTTCTCTGGGAAAACAAATAGGTAGAATTGATGTGGTGCTCATGGAGAAATGCCTATCAGGAGGGAAGGCAGTGAAGAGCAATGAACAGTTCCTTGACACTGAGACAATACTTTACTCTTCAATACCTCTGAAGATGGACAAGCATGAGCTTATTTGCAGCAAAAAGGCCTATCAAACTTGTAATTAACAAAGTAAAATTTTCTAGAAGTGCCCAAACCAAAATCTCTCAGTGACCAAAAATGACCACTGAAGTGCATGCTCATACTTATTGCACTTAAAGTGCCTCACGGCTTTTCATCACAAGAGAAATGAAAACTCAATTTTATATACAGAGCTTGATATTCATGGGAAATCACTATGTAAGCTCCGTAGACCAAGGGACTAAGCCTGTTATTTATTTATTTTAAATTATTGCCATCCCTCACCACAAATACTAGTGCAAAGACAATTTATAAACCATTTTTTGTTCCCTAAAAAAAATTTCTAAACGCCAATCTTACCTACTGAACATAGGTTTCTGAAGGTTTCCATCATGACATCTCTGTACAGTTTCCTCTGAGCAAGATCCAGCAAAGCCCACTCTTCTTGGCTAAAGACCACAGCCACATCATCAATGATCACTGCGTCCTGAAACATCCCACACATTCTGGATCAGCAAGCTACCAAGTACTCTAATGTGTACAAGAATGAAGGGTGAGGGTGGCAGTCCCGGGGAACTGAGAACTGACAGGCAGTGGACACAAGGTTCTGTGCTCTATCAGGCCTACCTTAGTGTACGGCCGTCAGCCCCATCCCTGCATGAACTACAGTTAGCCTTTGTACAACACGGATCCTTGAATTGCATGTGTCCAGTTATACATGGAGTTTTTTCAATAAATGTATTAGAAAACATTTTTGGAGATTTCTGACAGTTTTACAAAACTCTCAAATGAAACACATAGCCTGGAAATTCCAAAAAGTAAATAAAAAGGCATGCTAAGAATGCATAAAATGCATGTAGATATTAATCTATGGTATCATTTACTACTATAACATGTAAACAAGTATACGTAAAAAGTTAAAATTTATCAAAACTTATGCACATAAACATGTTGCAGTGTAGTAAATTACTTAGTGTGGCTTTTCTACCCATAAGTCTTTGTAAACTCCAAGGTGGGATTTTCTATGAGCAACTGAGGAGCTCCTGATTGCTGAAG